TTTCTTGGAACACTAAAGGGGTACGTTACCAATCGAGCTAGGCCAGAAGGTTCAATTGCAGAGGCTTACGTTGCTAAAGAGTGACTTACTTTTTGTTCATTGTATCTTAAAGGAGTTGTTCGAGAAGAACGAAATGTTGATTGTGGTATACTTGGTCCTGGATTGTCGGTTTTCACACAAAGTGCTCGTCCCTTCGGACCAATCACAAGAGCTCCAAATGTGTCTCAGAAAGATCTGGATATGGCTCAGTGGTTTGTGTTGTATAATAGCCCTGAATTGGAGCCGTTTCTAGAGTATGTATTAAGTTTTTTAAGTTTGAATCAGTTGTATAGTTTTACTAACCAATTGATTGACACCTCTGGATGTAGGGAACACAAGGCTACGATCCAAAATTCTAGAGGACATGACATTACTCAGATACAACGAAAAGAATTTTCAAAATGGTTCAAACAACATGTAAGTTATCTGAAATACGCACAAGTCATTTTATAAATTAAAAATAAATTAACATTATTGAATACCTAATGCACTTGTAATATGTTTATGTAGATAAATCATTTGCGAACTATCGGGTCACCAATGGCAACTGATGAATTGTGGTCATTAGCAAATGGTCCAGATATATTAGTTCATCTCTATGAAGGATGCATTTGTAATGGCGTTCGGTTCCACACTAAAGATCGCGACAACCGTCGTAAGAGTCAAAATAGTGGTTTGGTTGTGGAAGGGGATCACGATGGAAAAACAATTGACTTTTACGGTTACTTATGCAAAGTCTGGGAGCTGAAATATTTGCATGGGGTTAAGGTTGTTCTGTTCCAATGTGAGTGGTTCAACACTGGCGGTAAAAATAGAATACATAAAGATACACATATCACAAGTATTGATGTTAGGGGTCGTTGGTATCAAAACGATCCATTTGTGCTACCAGAGCATGTGAAGCAAGTATTTTACATTGATGATACCAAATTGGGTGCTCATTGGAAAGTCGTAGAACGGGTCCAACACAGGAGTGTGTGGGATGTACCGGAACAAGTCCATGATGATATGCTTAATGATGCATTTCAACAAGTTGAAACCACTGTCGCTGTTCCAATTCTCGTCGAGCCTACTACAAATTATCCTTATTATAGGGATGATATTGGTCCCAATATCATTCCCAGTGCTGACCTAAATACGGAGTATGAAGTTGACAATGATCAGACAATGGAAGAGTATGGCGATGATGAAGAAGATAATCTGCATAATCAGGCTGACTTAGATATAGACCCTGATATTGATTATGATGTGTAGTATATGTTTTTGTTTCGTAAATGAACAAATATCAAGAAATAATATTGTTTGAAAGCAACATAATTACATTCTATCATTTTGTATAAAAGTTTAATGTTACAACCTGGCATAATTTATATGTTCTAACATGTAATTTTTTTCATAGTTATCAAATATGCACAGTGGTAAAAAATTATGGGTCAAACCGGGGTCCACACGGAAAATGGCAGAAATATATGAGGCAAGAAGGAGGAAAACAATTTTCTTTTGAATTTATTGTAATCGACTGAAGATATAATGAATTCCACAGCAGAACCAACTTTTGACGAAAACAATGCCTCTGGAACATAATGTTTCCTCTCTAGGTAAGATGAGATATATTATCACATCATGGGCAATATTTCCATCTTCCCGATTTTTGTTAATGTGATAGTCTGTTTGTAATAATTTACCGAGCGATGTAAACAGTTGTTTTCATACGGTGGTTTTCTGGGTGGTAACTTGACGCTTGTAATCATAGTCTGCAAAAGTTGAAATCGATTGCTTTCGATAATTGATACATTGAGGGGCATGCTCAATTGCAGGAGTTCGATGATTAATAGAAAGCTCAGATGGAATCCAATGACACGGAGTTAGGAACAGAAATTTATTGTCCGTTAAACTACATCCTCTTCAACAATTCCGCTCGTTATCCAGATTCTTAACTAGGTGCCTGTTTGGCAACTTGAGATAAACATGTTCTTTGGGAACAAAACTGGCTCAGGATCAATTCTGGATTGGTAAATCGTTCCGACGAAAACTTAAAATATATCATGTGTATAATATTCTACACATGATCCCCTATGATATTTTTTTTCCCCATTAGCAGGAGCCTATTATTTTTTGAAAAGAAAAACAGAGCAAGTTGCCTTGTTCATTTCATTAACCAAAAAGCAAATCGATCAAGTAAGATGGAGAAATTCGAGGGACAAAATATCAACCAATTCATTTCGATTATAGAGATGGTTGATACCATGTATCTAGATCTTCCATCAAAACTCAATCAGCTTAAACAGATACAAAAGTATAGAGTGAAACCTTCTTGCTAAAATAATAAAAAGTAAATTCACCTTTTATATATTTAGAACACCAATGTATGCATTAATTTCCCATATGTTCATGAAAAAAGTGACTGACCTTCCTTAGGGCATGGCTTCCTAACATACAAAGGACCTAAGTATCATTAACTTAGCATAATTGTAGATTAAATTATTGTGATTAAGGGGATCATGTGGAACGATTCTTGAAATATTGTTTTTTAGCTAGTCAAGTTTCTTTAGTTGTCTTCTTCTGATTAAGGGTAGTGCATTTGTTGATTAATGGAGCAATGTCGGGTTGATTACTAATCCTTTTCTCATTATTTATTTATTTATCTTTTTTTTTTGTTAATGAGGATATTCTGAACTTGTTAAGAATCTTTCTGATTTTCAAGACGTAATCAATTATTAGGAATAAGTTCTTTGGACGTAATCAATTATTAGGAATATTCTGAACATATTGAATGCATATGACTTGATTTGGACTGTGACAACAATGTAGATAGATAAGAGACACACCGAACCTTTAATTTTCTTAGCAAATGCATTTGGCCTTCAAATAATACCCTACCAGCTTCAAACTTCCATTGATACGAATCAGTACACAACAATAATTCTTTTTCCATGAACATGGTGATCAATAAATGCTTCCATGAGATAAATCAAATAATCGACGTTCTGATACGCAAAACTTCAAATTTCAGTGAAGCTTATTTCTCCAGCCTTATATTTACCATGTGTTCAAAATATACGAAAATATTGTTTCCAGCGAGCGACGAAAATGCTATTTAGTGGAATTATTCACATATCAGACACTATATTGATAATGAAAGTTGAGAGATAAATTACAAAGAAAATCATTACTGGAAACCTTGACAGGTTGTTTAATGAGGGGGGTCATGTGGGGATGGGATCATTGGTGTCAGTTTGAAGAAACCTTGACAGTTCAAAAGTGAAGTTTTTATTTAATTTTCTGACTGGATGCTGTGTTGGGATTCCTCAACACCTGATCCTTAACTTATTTTCCAATTAACCCCTTTATCAACCATAATTGTCGGGTAGGGTTGTAAATTAAATTTACAGCATGTACGGAGCATTGGAGGACTCGGAGGAGTATAATATTCAAGAGTTTCAGAACACTGCACGCTAAGGTTCAGAACACTGCACGCTAAGGTTTGCTATTAAATAGAGTCATGCATCTCTCTATCTCAAATCCACTGATTACAGTCTAAAAATTTAGGATGAATAACGGAAATCTAGTCAATTACAAGGATTTAAGATGTGTACTGTCTGAAGCCAAAGAGATCAGTCTCATGAGAAGGAAGATTGAGTCATGAAATTTTTGAGTTTTCAATTGGACTAATTAATTTTCTCATCCAAACAATCATAGTTGATTCTACTTTGATGGGATTTGATGTATCAATTTATTTCATGCATGATCTACTCCTGCCTCATTTGCATAACTTAAACTTTTTACTCTCTTTTGAAATTCTTATAGGGATGAAGATCTTCTTTGCCATGGACTTGCATTAAATGATGATTTGCAGCATGTCCTATCCAAACATGATGCTCTTAATGCAGGTGTTGCTGTTCATATGTAGAAAACAAAGTCTCTTCAGGCACTTAATGAAGATATTCCTCCTCTTCATGGACAAGCACTCTGCAAGTCCTATTGCTCAAGGATTCGGGAGGCTTGTCAATCTTTGACGCCATTGGTACCTTCTGTCATCAACTATTTGTAATTAATGATACAAATTTGAGATTGTTGTTTCTAGTTTTCTTGATGTAATCTGTTTTTGAGACTTTATGTACTTGGGTATGCAAGAGGAAGTTTGTAAATTAACGCTTTTAGCGCTCAAGGGGAAATGGAAAAATAGACTTTTATGTTGATTTGAATGGGAGCAAATTTTTTGTGGATGTTCAGATTCAGTGTAGGCTTGAATTTGATAGAAAATATATTACTTTTGGCGATGCAAATTAGTGTCGATAAGCGTCAGTAAAAGTAACACTTTTGTCGACGCTATATTTCGTCGCTAAATGTAACACTTTTGCCGACGAGATATTTTGTCACCAAAAGTAATATCTTTTAGCGACGCAATCTTGCGTCGCCAAAGATGTAGTTTTTAGCGACGCTCTATTATGCGTCGCTAAAAGCTACACTTTTGCCGACGCAAATGGTTGCGTCGGGAAATCTTACACTTTTGGCGACGTAGGTAACGTCGGCAAAGGGTAATGCGTCGGCAAAAGTATACTTTTGCCGACGCATTGCCCTTTGCCGACGTTAAGTACGTCGCCAAAAGTGCAAGCTTTCCCGACGTTGTCCAGCATATGGAAAAAATACCGCATGCTTTTGCCGACGCTCAGTGGTTTGTGTCGCTAAAAGTTGTACTTTTCCCGACGCAGTGTGTTTGCGTCGCCAAAAATTTTCCTTGACGCACTTTTGGTGACGCGTTAGCGACGTTGCATTTTGCGTCGGGAAAGTTCAATCTAAAAATATCGATTTATGGGAAATCATTGATTGTGCTTATATTGTGCCCACGTTGGAGAAATCCAAGTGGAGCAAACATGATAAAAAGATGTTTATTATGAACAAGCTTATGTTAGAATTTTTATTAAATGCATTTGATTCATTTATGTCTAACAAGCTTGATTCTTTTGATAGTGCTTACACCTTATGGACATTTATTGAAGCACATCAAGGGGACTGGAGGCGATCCGACAAGCTTTGGAGGATCCCGCTTCAAGTTCAAAAGGAGCTTCATACACACGAGCACTAGGCGATAACCCTAGTGAGGTTTGCTAGTTCGAATCTATTAATGATTTACCTAATGATGAACTTGCTTGTGCTAGTAAAAAATTATTGCATGCCTTTAACAAATTGCAAAATGATTTTATTGATTTAAAAAGCAAGCATGAAGATTTAAAATCCGATCATGAGAAGTTAGCTTCTAAATTTGATATCATTTCTCAAGAAAGTATTGCTCGGAGCTTCATGCACACGGCCACTAGGCGATAGCCCTAGTGAGGTTTGCGAGTTCGAACCCGATAATGATTTATCTAGTGATGAACTTGCTTGTGCTAGTGAAAAATTATTGCATGCCTATAACAAATTGCAAAATGATTTTAATGATTTAAAAAGCAAGCATGATGTTTTAAAATCCGATCATGAGAAGCTAGTGTCCAAATTTGATGTCATTGAAAATGAAAATACTATGCTTAAAGAAAGCAATGACTTATTAAATTTGGAAAATGGAAATTTGATTTCATCTATTGCTAGCCTATCTCATGCTAAGATTGATGCCATGTTAGAAGTAGAGAACATAAAAAATAACACTGCTTCATTTATAAATGACTATTTATGTTCTACTTCTAAAAATGCATATGTGCCTAAAAATGAAGATTTGAATCTTATGAAAAATAGTATTTCATCTTTAGATTCAACTTTGAAAGTATGCTTTGATAATCATAAGAGGCTTATGGATATGTGTGCTAAGTCAAAATCATCCACTCATTATGCACACATGTATAGCAAAACTTATAAGTGTTCTATTTGCGGCCGTCAAGGTCATTTAGCTAAGTTTTGTTATGATGCACACAAACATAAGAATTCTAATGTTCCTTGTGCATCTCATATAGCTTCTTCATCTTGTACACTTACACATTCACATGCTCATTCTCACAAAGTTCATTATAAGCATGCTAGTGTGTTCAAGTGTGATCATTGTGGTCGTTTTGGTCATTTGGCCGAATATTGTTTTGATTTGAAAAAGAAATCTCATTTGCCAAATGCTTCTAGTAGACCACATGCTTTTAAATGTGATGTTTGTGGTAGGTTTGGACATCTTGCTAAATTTTGTTTTGATATACAAAAAGCTTCTAAATTGCAATATGTTCCAAATAGACCATTGTTTAAGAATGTTTCTCATTTGCAAAATAATTTTAAAAGAAAATCTTTATTTGCAAATGATTCCCGTGCACGAGCTAATGGTCCACAAAAACAAATGGATCTCTTTCATTGCACGAATTGCAATCGGAAGGGTCATTTGAATGAATATTGTTTTGACCATGTTAGTGCACCATATGTGCCCAAGAGGGTTCATAACCCTAGGGCTTTAAGCTTGAATGATAGGGGTCATGTCCCTAAATCTTTTGGTACCAAGAGTTCTTGGGTACCAAAACAAATTTAATTTTTAAACCAAGAATTTTAAAGTTTTTATTTTCCTTTTTCTTGGTTTTGAAAAATGTATTTTAAACTTTCATGAAAACAATTCCTTTTATTGGTCAAATTCTTTTGTTTTCATAATTCCTAGTTTTGATTTTGATGAGAGGTTTGTATTTATATAACCCTCTGGATTTATTGGGTGTTTATTCCCAAATCTTGTTTGCCGGATGCTTAAATGTTTACATGGGTTGATACTAGCTCAATAGCTAGATATAATTACCTCTCTTGATTTTTGAAAATCAATGATGATTTGGTTTTATGATTTAAATTTTGATTTATGATTTTATTTGATTGATTTGTTTTCATTTGAAAACATTTTGCATGATTCCCATGCTCCTTTTCTCTTGATTTCATAAATCTATCTTTACACATGGTTTTTATGTTCTTTGATATGAGACACTATTTTTCATATTGATATATTCATATGTGTTCTCTTTATCTCTTGAATGTGAGTGATTTTTGGTATATTATTTATGCTTGTTCACATGTTTGCCATGATCTTTTATTGCTTATATTTCATATGGCTTTTTGATAGAGGGAGTTATTCCCTATATTTGCTTTGTACTCACACATGCTTTTTGATAGGGGGAGCTTTCGCTCTCTTTCATCTATATGGTTTTCCCCTTTTTGATGTTGTCAAATGGGAAGAAATATTGTGAGTATATTCTTTCTTGTTTAGCATATATCTCTTTTTGTAAATTATTTGTCATCATCAAAAATGGGGAGATTGTTGGCCTTCTTGTTTTGATGATGTTTAACAAACAATTTACCACTAATGTTGTTTGTCTAGTATTTATGTTTTCTTATTTATTATAGACAAACAACGTAGTTGGAGGTTGGATGGATTGAGCCTACACGATCATATCAAGAGGAGGTTGGCGGAATTGTGGAGTGAAGCATCGTACAATTCAAGTTCAAGATCCAAGTTTAGCTTCATCCGCAACATGTACCAAGTTGAGCTCAATGAAGATCAAGATCAAGCTTGGGTAATTTAGTTTAGGATTTATATTATGTGTGTTAAGTACGTTAAGCTCAATATCTATACACACACATTTATTGGTTTCTTCTTATATATATATATAGTTATATATATATATATAAGTTTTGGTTTCTATGCATATATATAGTTATATACATTTATATACATGCATGGTTTTGGGTTTTCATGTTTATAAATATGAAATCAGATATTTCATATTTACTATTGTGTTTTTGGTTTTGGACTATTTTGTAAAATGATGATATTTTTCATTTGGGAAGTCCTTTTTGGAAACCGGTCATTGTAGCATGTTTATTATCATGTCTACAATCATTCCCCAAAGTTTTATATTTTTTGGAATTTATTTGATATTTTTAAACAGGGTTTTAAAATCAGAAAAACAGTTTTCAAAATCAGATTTTCATATATCAGTTCTCGGTCGACCGCACCGGTCGACCGGACCTATGTTATTTAGTCAGTGGGCAGCAGAGAGTTTGTCGGTCGACCGATGCGGTCGACCGAGAGCTCGATTTTTCTGTCGGTCGACCGCACCGGTCGACCGATGAAGTCTCTGTTTGTTTTTCTCGTTTTCGATCTGGATCGCGGTCGACCGAAAATTTCGTCGGTCGACCGAATGATTTCGTCGGTCGACCAAAAATTTCATCGGTCGACCGAATGATTTCGTCGGTCGACCAAAAATTTCGTCGGTCGACCGCCGAACTCCCAACGGTAATATTATACAGAAATCAGTTTCCTGATTTTCTAGGATTTTTGTTGTTTTGTTTGTGGTTTTGGCTGATGGTTTTTCTTCCTATATAAACCCCTCGACCCCCCTTCTATTTTAGCAACCCATTAAAGAGTTTTGAAGAAGTTTTAAAGAGTTTTTGAAAAGAGTTTTAGTTGGGTTCAAAGTCTGTTTGGTTTGAAGATTGTTTTACAAGTGGAGAAGATCATTCACAGTGTCTGAACTTCATTTCAATCCTCCTCTCCATCTTGTTTTTCAGAGAAGAATTTCTAAACTCTTTCTAGCTTTACATTTTGTATTGTTTAATTATCATTTCTATTAAAGCTAGTTTTATATTGAGTTTAGATTTAATTTTATCTCATTGTTACACACACCCACTTGAGCTTATTGTATTTGCATACATAGTATATTAGGGTTGTGAGAGATTGTAACATTGAGTTGTGCTTAATTGTGTTCTCATCTATTGTAGAGAACAAATTTATATTTGTTACATTGTGAGTATTGTAAGGTTTTCGGTGAGCTAGAAACCGAATGTGTTGTGTAGTTTTCGGTGAACTAGAAAACCGAGTGTGAGGAGTGAACGTTGTTCAGTGAGCGTTGAAAACCGACATAGTGTGATTGTAAACGATATTCGGGTGAACGTAGAAAACCCGGTTGTGATAGTGGATTTCTCCCCGGGAGTGAGGAGCGGAGACGTAGGACGGAATGTCCGAACTCCGTGATCATATAGTGTGTTTGAGTGTGCTTTGGCGTTCATTTATATTTATGTTCATATCTTATATCGCCATTTTCATTAGCTCATTATTTATATGATCCACTATCTAGTTCATTTTGTTTACCCTTGTGTTAGTTTTATATCCTTGCATATACATATATCATATTGTATATCTCTTGATAGGATATATCATCTTGTGTTAGTTTATATATCCTTGCATATATATATT